GAAATAACAAAAATAACAGAAAGATATAAGAAATAACAAAAATAACAGAAAGATATAAGAAATAACAAAAATAACAGAAAAGTAACAAAAATAACAGAAAAGTAACAAAAAAATAACAGAAAGATATAAAAAAATAACAAAGATAACAAAAAATAACAGAAAAGTAACAAAAATAACAGGAAAAAGCTACCATAACAGAAAAATAAAAACAAGAAAAACAAAAATTAACGAAAATAGCACAAATAACAAGAAAAATAACAAGCTATAGCCGGGAAACAAACAATAACACAAAAAATGGTTTTCTTACGACAAAAGAATGTCTATGGTCTGAGAACAAGGTCGTCTTAGAGTGTTAGTCAAAGGCCTCACGCAGAGGGGATCGTAGAGGCGCGCGATGTTTTGAGCTTTTATCCGTCTCGTCAATTCGGTGAAGTCAATCGTGCATATGACGTTATTTCCTCAAAATCCATATAATGAGATCTCTTTCCTTAGGTTGAGTTTAAATAATGGGAAGATTCACTGGGATAAAATGAAAAGCTGTTTTTTATTCTCTCTCTATATATATAAATATGTGTGTGCGTGTGTGTGTGTGTGTGTGTGTGTGTGTGTGTGATCTCTTCTAAGGATCACGTTGGACACTCGGTCGGTGTAAGAGAGGCGCAACATCCTGCGGTAGAACTATACTGCGCCGAGTTTCAGTCGCCAGTGTCGAGGACTCGCAACCATATAGGAGAGTCGAGTTTGGAGAATGCTAATCTGCTCTGCGTCAGATTTCCTCCTTGCCACGAGCATCTGAGGTGACAAGAGCTCCTACATAATAAAAGGAGGAGTCCTCTTGCACATACACACACACACACACACACACACACACACACATATATATATATATATTTGGTTTAGCGTCACGAAATTCCCCTTTTTGGAAAAGGGCTAGGACGGGCCTACCCCGTGAAGGGCAGGCAGGTATTGGCAGGTGGAAACCGTTGCCCCGAGTGGATGCCCTTCCTAACCTCGGGCCGTGGCACGAACCCGTGCGCTTGCGGACCCTCCGGCCCACAGCCGCGCGCGCTACCACATGCCTGCCTCTTCTATCACGAAGCTACGTGATAGCTTCTCCGAAGAGTCCTGCGCTCTGGTTGTGCTCTTGATGCATATATATATATATATATATATATATATATATATATATATATATATATATATATATATATATATATATATACATATATATATATATATATATATATATATACATATATATATATATATATATATATATATATATATATATATACATATATATATATATATATATATATATATATATATATATATATATATATATATATATGTATATATATATATATATATATATATATATATATGTATATATATATATATATATATATATATATATATATATATATATATGTATATATATATATATATATATATATATATATATATATATATATATATATATATATGTATATATATATATATATATATATATATATATATATATATATATATATGTATATATATATATATATATATATATGTATATATATATATATATATATATATATATATATATATATATATATATATATATATATATATATATATAAAAGACTTATATAAAAGACTCTTTGACACTACCGCACGCCGACCCAACCAGTACATCGGCTTCCAGCGTGCTGCTGTGTTGTCATTAATTATTACAAGGACCAAGTCACCCAGGGGAACACTGCTTGAAGATCCGTATCTCTGGTGTTGCTCTTGATTTTTATAACTAAGTTAGCACTTGACCTTCATCCCTCTCAGCTTGAGGATCAGTACCTTCGGGGAGAAAGACTTTTAAGCTTCATTGTCTAACGGTTAGATTTTTTTTTTCTCTTTTACCAAAGTATTGGTTTTCTACCTGACCTTGTGGGTGTTCAGGCAGTCTTCGTGATCTATGTGTGTCTTTCTTGTTCTTTTCATTTCTACGCCGGATAACTTGGCGTCTGTCCTTTATGTTCTGTCCTCCACTAAGAGTTTATCAGCACTATTTTTTTCCTCGCATTTGTTTAAGTTAATCTCCATTTGCGTAGGAAATTAACTCCATTGACTCAAGAACCTACATGTTTCTGTGTTAACACCTTAGTTAAGACATGGAGTTAAGACACCATAATTATACATTACTGTTCTCCTAAGTGTATCAGGTGTTGGTTTTCCATGCGCTTCACCCTCATTATGATAAACTGGTGATGTATCGATGATGACTGACTAACCTGAATAAGTCCCTTGTGAGAGCAACTAGGGACTTATCATCTTGAAGCTTTTACTCAGTTCCAACCAGAAAATTAAGGTCGTGTACTTAAAAAACTCCTAAAGGCTATAAGCTTCAAGCTGATTTCTTACCATCTATCTAAAAAGAACGAGTAAGAATACCATTGAAATTGCTGCACCTGGGTTCCAACTGCCAGCAGGCGGATGATCAACCGAAGGGAAGAAT